AAGGGAAGGGAAGGGAAGGGAAGGGAAGAAGAAAAAGAGAGAGAGAAGTAAGAAAAGTAACTGCTGAGGTTGGTTATGTACAACCAAACACTTCATGGGATTTGGTTCCTTGGTTTGGAGGTTTAGGGTCATAATCTCCTGGGACAACACAGTTAATTGGCCTCAAAATGCATTTCATGCTTCTGTTCTACCTCTTAGATCTATTTGTAATGAGTCTTAAAAGCTTGCAATGAGCCATCCAAGGCCTAACAACTGTTCTCGGTTCACCTGGAACAACAGGAAAAAGGAGAGTCGGGAATGGCAGGAGGATATGGAATGTGTATGCAGTTAATTGTCTCCCTGAACAACTTCCTTCATTGCTGTCAGAACCCGATAGTGTTCGGCTAGCATTACTGAACATTTCGACTCAATGATGCCACAGACAAATCCTCATCCAAAGAGGGAAAATGTAGGAGAGACTTTCAAATTCTCAAGGACTCTAGACTTCCTGGAGCCATGAAGGGTGGATAAACCCTGAAACTATTGCCCGGAGGCCATCCTGAAACCATAAACCCAAAGTATCCCCTGAAGTCATCTTAAAACTAAATAGTAGGTTAGTTTAACTAGTAAAAAAAGGTCGGCTTTGAGCATCCGGCTCTTTTGAGATCTGTGTATATGGGATCACTGTGACATCAGCAGGAACCTTAGCGGGCAGTGAGCTTTCAGAAAAGGCGTGAGGCTGGCTGGAGGACTTGAAGAATGGCATCAGTGTCGCTGGAATGCACGTGCAGAAAATACTGAGTTGGGCGTGGTTTGCCGGGTATATTCTCAACAACAACGAAATAAATAAAATATAAGGGAGGAAAAGTGCCATTTTGAGTCACAAATAGCAAAGTGTTCACAAGTACACATAAGGCTCACGATGCCGTTGCCTAATTGTGCCAACGTGTACATTGCCATGGTTCTTCACCTGTCCCCCCCACCTCCACACACACTTAACAGGGAAACTGAGGGCAGGAGAGTGGGATGTAGGGAGCAGTTTCATGGAGAATTCTGGAGGCCTGGCCAGGGTCTAGGCCCAACCCTGTATCCCGTGTCCCCATTTCAGAAATGCAGATAATGACTCAGACACATCGGCTCAAATCCTGTCACTTTCTTAGCATCCTCAGCATCCTTGTCCATAAAATGAGGACCTCCTACCTGAGAGCTGTTTTTAGGGACCTGTTACATACAGAATGTAAACTGCTTCCCACAGGGCGTGCAGGTCAAACAGCGGGAAATGATGAGTTTAAGCCACTCACAATCCAGGTGTCCGTCTGGCATTCTAAAATGCTGTTTGTCCCATTTCAGAGTTCTCTTCCACTGTAACCAGCAGCTCCAGCCTGGGACGGCTCACAGCGTGTCCAGAGCTGGCGGTGGTCATTCAGACCAGCCCTAGCCACTATGTGTCAGATCCAACATACACCTGCCTCTCCTCCTCGTTGACACTGTCTTGGCCTCTGGGACCCCCACACCCTGCGTCCTTCCAGCCTCTGTGACTATGTCTCTTCGACCAGTCTCTAGAGTCTAGAGTTTCCACCCACCCTTTGCTCAATCTGTGCTCAGATGACTCCCTTCTTTGCTGACTCCAAACTGCTTATCCCTGCCAGTCCTCAGAACGACAGTCAGCCTGAAACTCCAACTTCCTGGCTGCCATCTTACCAGGAAGATCCCTGTGAATACATGCACAAAGAGAGCTCTTGATTTCCCCCCAAAGCCGATTTCTCCCCCAACCATCCTTGTCTGGCAAAACTGTACCACCATCTAACTTCTCAAGCTGGAAATCTAGGAGGTGATATTGACCTCCCTATCTCCAGCCTCATCTCACACCCAAGTAATCCACTACCTGTCCTAATATGCATCTCTGTGTCTTCTGCACAATAATTTGGGTCCAAATCACATCCCCTTTCACACAGACTTGTTGCCTCCAATCTGTCCCATAAGCGGCAGCCAGAGCTATTTTTGAAAGCAGAAACTTCATCATCTCTGTCTTCCACATGGCTTCTCGTGGCACCGAGACCATCATCCACGTACTGTGTGGGTCTGAAAGCGCCCAAGTCAGCGTGTCTTAGTTCTCTATGCCGCTGGTTCAGAAATACCACAAGGGTGTTATCAAACATCCATCTATCCTCTCAATGTTGGGGAGGCTGGAGGGCTGCAGCTCTGGGGAAAGGCTTTCTCTTGCTGTCAGTTCTAGGGGAAGGCCCTGGTCTCCTTCCACCATTTGTGGGCCCAACATTCCTTGGAGATCTCTATGTGTCTTGACATCACTCTTCCCCTGGGTCTAGGAGATTCCCAGTGCAGGGACCCTGGGTCCAAAGGACATGCCCCGCCCTCTGCCCCCCGCCCCCAACACTTCTTTCTTGGTGGTAGCAGGTCCCTCGAATCTCTGCTCACTTGCTTAACCTCTTTTACATCTCAAAAGAAGCTGACTCAAGATACAGCCTAGTCCTCAAGCTGGCATCTTGCCTCATTAATATCACCGCCTCTACGCCTGCCTCATTTAGCTCACAGAGGTGAGGATTCACAAACATATAAGATCATTACATCAGGCCACAAAATGGGGACAATTACATCACACTGAGAATAACAACCCAGCCAGGTTGGCACACATTTTGAAGGCATACATTTCAACTTCAGCAGCAGGTTTCTGCCTCGCCTCCAAACACTTCTCAAGTTGTGTCCCTTCCCTGGCCACTCAAGTCCCCCCACTGTCCCCAAAACAGAATCACTGGCTTCCTCGAGAGTACCTATCTCTAACAGTGCCGGTCTTTTCTTGAATTAAAACATCTATGACAGTTGTCATTTCAACCGTATTTTATGTGTACACTTCTGTGACAGTAACTACACCTTCATCATGTTGTACAACCACACCATGGCCGGTGTCCAAACAGATTCCTACTCCCACATGTATTGTCAATCTCTCCTACTGTCACCCCACGTTTCCTGCCCCCCAAGAGGTCCAGAACTGTCTTATCTATTTGCCCAAACCTCACTGAGGGTTTAAGACAGCAAACAGCTCAAAGAGTATTTGGGGAAGCAACGCAGCCAAGTCCGCCCTCCACCATCTTGGTATTAGGAGGACTGCCTTGCGCCATACAAACAGTTAACAAGTTAAACGTTGGAGGTTCAAGTCTACCCAAAAGCATCCCAGAAGAGAGGACAAGCGATCTACTTTTGAAAGGTCATCGTCATTGGAAGCCCTATGGAGCACAGCATTTCCACTCTACCTATGGTCCTGCCATGAGTCGGAATCAACTCGACAGCAATCGGTGTGGAAGTGCTTTGCTGGGTGTAAACATCTTTCCTCTCTTCTACAAGAGGAGGGCATGCAGTGGTCACAACTAGAGGGTCAAGACGGGCAGCCCACAGACAGATTAGACTGCTTCCAGCTCTTGATTTAGGACCATTCCAAAGCTACAGAAAAGCTGAAATCGTACATCAGATACCCGTGTTTGTCAGGGTTACATCTTATGCTTGCTCACTCTCCACACCCACATACCCCATACATTCTTCTTAGGGCTGAGCCACCGGAAAGTGAGCTACAGACGACACTGGTAATTCATTCACCCTTTGAGCTTGTGTTTCCCACCTTAACATCACCCCATTGCCACCCCCAACACTTTAACACTGGACTGCAAACTACAAGGTCCACAGTTCAAGCCTGCCAGGCCCTCTGAAGGAGAATGATGGGGATTTCTGCGCCCGTGAAGATTTCATGCCTCTCAGAAACCCTCCACAGGGTCACTATGAGTCAGAACCAACTTGACAGCACTTAACAATAGTAATGTCATCTAATATATAGTACATAACCAAATTTTAATTGTTCCTAAATATTTTTTTTTTATAACTTTTGCTGTTACCATTTTTACTTTTAAGCACCGCCTCAAAGAACTCTGACAAATGAGTTTCATAGACTAAGATGCAAGATGGCTTCCAATGAAAACATTCTGCCCTTTAGTGATCACTGGGATACTGATAGAAGCATTCTGAGTACTGCTAACTCGAAAGTAACTTGGATATTCTCACTTTCCAATTAGCTCTCTACACCTAAATGTTTTCAAAAGTTGCCCAGCTCCATCTAGGATCCCATCCAGGGCCACAAGTTCATTCAACTCCCAGGTTCCCTGTGTGCTGTTTAAGTGCCGTCAAGTCGGTTCCGACACATAGCGACCCCAGATAGGATTTCCAAGGAGCAGCTGGTGAGTTTGAACCACTGACCTTGTGGTTCAATTGACTTTGCAGTCCAGCGCATTAACCCACAGCACCACAAGTTCCCTTGAATCTGGAACAATCTCCCCACCATCTGCCGCCACTCATGAAGACTAGCATTTTGAAACGACGTCTTGTGGGATACCCCACAATCAGGATCCATCTGATTACTGCATCATGTGCACCCACAACCACACCCACTTCAGAATCAATTCTGACTTCCTTTCCAAGATCTGTTAAGTGGGAGATGTTATACGAAAAAGGTTTCCATCACTTCAAACAGAAACCCAGTGTCCCTTCAGCAGCAACTCCCCCCGCCCCCAGCCCCGCCCCCCCCACCCCCAGTGACCACTCATAAACCTCGGTCTGTATGTTTGCCTAGTCTAGATGTTCCATCTAAACAGGAACCCCCAATGTCTATCCTGTTTACTCAGCCGAGTTATCTCCAAGGTCCTTCCATGTTGTAGCATTGACCAGAACACTTCATTTCTCAATTTTCCTTTCTAAGTATATACCTTGTGAATGCTTCGGGAAAAACCCAGAACAGAAAACATGGCGATTCTAGGCCCTGTTTCCAGTGTCCAGAGACATTCTGTAGGACACAGCAGGGCTTGCTCCTTCTATCAGGGTCCATGTGGGGTCCTGAGTCTGTGACTTTTTCCTTATAGGGGGGTCACGCCCTCCCAGGGCTCACACTTCTTTGGAGACCTGAGCGGTTCCTGCCATTGTCTCTAGGTACATGGGCCTGCCCTCTGCTCGGTGGGGAGCTGGGGAGCCCTGGACCCTGTCCCAGCATGGGGCTGAGGAAGAAGGTCTTTGATCCTCAGCGCCCTGGAGGGCACCTGTGGAGCTGCCTTCTAAATGCAAGAGGTATGCTTGGAATGCATGGGATTCACCTCAGGGGACCTGGCCAACTTCTACCCGTAGAGGGTCAACCACTGAAGAAGACCAAATAAACCCTCAATTTTCCATCACGTCCTCTTCATTCTTAGAAGATCACACGCCGTTTCAAATTCAAATGTAGATGTCCCAAAACGGTAACTAGCACAACACCAATGACACCAGAAAACCACCAGAGTTGGAGGGCATGTCACCAATTCCAGCCATTCTCTACTTCATGGAGGCCACACCCAGCCCTGTTCCTCCCTACAGTATGGCTATAGGTTTATGAGGTTGTTTGGCTTTTAAAGAGTCCATTAAACCCCACCCTGAATAATGCAACAAATATTTTCCAGGTTGTACTAGACAAGTAAGGGCTTGATCTTGTGAATGAGCACATCCAAGTTACCTAGGTCCTTCAAAGACATTTGTGGCTGGATCGCACCCAACCAAACCGAACACGAGGGACTCACTTTTTGGGAAGCCAAGTACTCCATGCCTCTGGCCAGCTGGTAGGTGCAGGACACCAAGTCCTTGAAGGTCATCTGTTCTTCAGGGACACGGTTAATGTCGTAGGAGTACTCCATCCCGGGTGGCCTGCGGGCTCGCAGATACTCCCGAAGATTGCCCTTGGAGGCATATTCCACTATAGCATAGAGGGGCCCTGTGTGCAGAGAAGACAGATCCCTAAGGCAGGGAATCCTGGACCTGCCCGTGGGAAGCTCAGCAAGATTCTCCCTTAACACAACCCAATACTGCTTGCTTTGTTTTACGAAATACCCAGCACATAGAAAAGCAAGCAAACTGAGGACACACTTGCATTCTAATCTCCCTGAAGGGTAATCCACACTCCATTAGGACAGCCGCAAAAAGTCTTTAGGAAACAAAGACACAGTTGGCGTGTTTTCCAGCCATCCTTTCCACTCTCACAATGCCCTCCTCAAAAGCAACTGCCTTCCTTAATTTGATTTCATCAGTACATCTGTTTTACATACATTTACATACATGCATATATTTTTTTTAATTGCAAAAATAAAGAATAAAAGTTACCGCTCTGTAACACAGTCTCCCTGACCCAGTATCCTTGTGGAGCCCAGTTAGTTTGATAAAATAAATCTAGATCATTCCATCAAAAAAAACGTGTTTTCATGCAAATGCCATGCACATTACATTGTTTTGCAAACCTCTGCAGCTTCTTTGCACCTTAATTTCCTGTGCACACTTTATGTGCACGCATTATTTGTGTGGAAAGGGCAAGAAACACAGCACCCTTCACTGACTCATTCCCCTATGTGTGCATACTCGTATTATTTGCAGTTTGGAGCTACAGCCAACAGTACAGATTGCACGTTATTGTACACATTTCCTTGTAAATTTATGTGCAATCACTTCTCCATGGTATAGACAAAAGATGGCTAACTATTGTTGTTGTTATGTGCCATGGAGTTGGTTCCGACTCATAGTGACCCTGTACAGGGTTTCCAAGGCTGTAAATCTATATGGGAGCAGAAAGCCTCATCTTTCTCCCGGAGACCAGCTGGTAGTTTCGAACTGGTGCCAAAGTCAACCCCCTGCCTAATTTTTGTAAATAAATGTTATAGAAACACAGCCAGGCCTATTCACTTACATACAGTCCATGGTTGCGTTCCGTAGTTGTGACAATGACTGTCTGGTATGTAAAACCCACAATGTTTACTACTATCTCACACTTTATATAAAACATTTTTCAACCCCTCAGACAGACCTACAAAGACACCCTACTAAGTCAACAGCATTTGAGTTTCGGGGTGGTAGTGGTGTGCTGTCAAGCGAACTCCAAACTCAGGGCTCTGTATAGGGTTTCTGAGGCTGAAAGCCACAAAGTGCTCACCTTGCGGTGTAAGTCACTGCATACCACCACTAGGGCTCCTCTCAAGTTTATTAACGACTCAAATGGTTTCTTAAAGTGCAGGGAAGCACCGCTGGGAGAGAGGCTAGGGGTCTCTCTCTCCCCTAAGAGAATAAGCTCAATCATCACTTACCCATAGCAGATGTCGACCCCTCTGCTCTATCTGCAGGAGAGACACCCCCCCCTCATCTTATTTTGAGAATCTGGCCCCCTGCCCCCCATAAACAAAAAGCAGGACGGGGGACTGTCTTTTTCCCTTCCACACTTGAGGTTCTGACCTAGAAACAGCCTCCACCCACTCCCTTTGGGCTCGTGGCTGGAAGCCTACTTCAGAAAGCTTTAAAAGAAACTGTAAGATTTGTGCTTGAGATACTCCAGACATAGGTTCCGAAAGTCCAACAGTTTTAAAAGCAATCGGACGTTCAACCACGGAGTGTTTGCCTGAAAACACGTGTACTCACCATCCTGCGTACAGGCACCTAAGAGATTGATGATATTTTTGTGTTTTCCAATCATCTTCATCATCTCCATCTCTGATACCAGATCAGAAAGATCTTTTTCTGTAGCATCATCTACAAACAGTAGGTAAGTGACAAGTCAGTTCATTTCTCTGGGCTCATCTGTCTCCACTGCTGTTGCTGTTAGTAATTCTCAAGTGGCCCCCTACTCATGGTGACCCAGGAACAATGGGATTGGACCACCATTGTGATCCACAGGGTTTCACTGGCTGGTTTTTGGAACGAGATCATGAATCTTTTCTGCTGAAAGCTGTTTCCGCATTATAGCAACACATAAGTCTCCACTGACAGCTAGGCAGGAGGCTGGGCAGGAGGTACAGTGGTCGGGAATTGAACTTGAGTCTTCCACATGGAAGATGAGAATTCGACAACTAAACTACAGTCATGAAATGGTACCATCCTCTGGCCTATTTATGGCGTTCCAAGCAAATGAGGACACAGAGCAAGGAGAAGCAAGATGGGAGCATTGCAAATCACCACCCAATTTCTCCAGCCCAAGATCATCTGCCCGGAGCCTTCACAGAGGGACTCGGGGACACCCCCCCATAAGTGTGTGCAGTTTCATATGGAGGGGGCAGAGTCCATGGCTTCTAGTGGCTTCTCCAAGGGACTGTGACGCTCATCCTAAGAACAGGTTTCCTAAACCTCTGCTTCACCCTTTCTAGAAGGAATGGTCCAATATCATAGCCTCACAGTTCGCTTCTAGCAAGGTCTGACTTCCTCATGAACCTCTCCTCACGTGAATTTAATGGGGAGAATACTAAAACCAATGAAATAGGTACAAACAGGTGCCCTGTTGAAACAGGGTTTTAAGCTTCACAAGCACACTGTTGGAAGAGCCGCCTGCCACGCGGAGAAAGCTTCACCTTTGGACACATCTCTCAATAGGTTCTCCTCTCTTGCTTGAGATGCTGAGCCAACCACTGCTGTAAGGCTTGGAGGCTGATGTCTATGTCCTACATGAAGGCCAGCCTTGGCATTTACAGGACAGACAGAATCCTCAGACAACCCTTTTCTGCTATATTGTTTTTGTTGAGTGCCGTTGAATCGGTTCCAACCCATAGCGACCCTGTATACGGTTTCCAAGGCGCAGCTGGTGAGCTTGAACCACTGACCTTGCAGTTCAAACGGCTTTGCAGTCTGACGCATTAATCCACAGCGCCACACCAGGACTCTGAGCCCACTCAACAAGAATCAAAAGTTCTGCCTAAAGAGAAGCAAAGTCCAGACCACGCCAAGGGAAAGCAGGGTGCCAAGACACCGGGACAAGAGGTCCCAGTTCTCCCCAATACTAAGCTCCAATGTGAGAACCACGACAAAACATCATTTTCCTTGGGAGTCATGAAAGTGGAGTAGCTAGAAAGGGTACTTCCTCTCAAGAAGGACATGATGGTTATTCCAGGAAAACCCTTAAAAGAAAGGAGGGTCCCCACAATGTGCTGGGCAGCCCATGTCCCACGGCCAGACCGCTCTACTACTGAGTGTGTGGGAAACTGCTCTTAGGGCTGCCATCTCTTTTCCTGAGGCCCCTAAGACAGGATTGATAATGTGACCGTTCCCTGTAACACTTCTCGTAAAAGAACACCGCGGAAGGAAGAAGTTAAAGGTTAAAGGTTCTTTAACTCCCTTGGCTGTGAACATGAAGCAGGACTGAAAGGTTAACGCAGATAAATTCAGACTCCCACAAAAGTGACTTGCCATTTGTATCTCAGGATAACTGTTTACATGTTCTAGGAGATTCTAACACCAGCACCCATCCTTTTCGTTCGTTTTCAGCTTTCTAAACAATTCCAGACCAGAGTTCCGTTTGCTACGTTCCCCCCAGAGGAGAAGCCATGACTGGCACTGCCCTAACCGCTTTGGTGTCAGGCACATGGAGTCGGTCCCAACTCCTTGCATCCTTAACAAAACACTGTGTGACGGTCCCTGCGTACTGACATGGTTGCATTCACTGCCGTGGCTACTGTGTTGTTCTCATGGGGGTTTGCCTTGTTTGTGCTGACCCTCTAACTTTAACAATCACAATGTCCTCGTCTCGTGATTGATCCTTCCAGAAGGCATGTCCAAATAAGCAAGATGAAGTCTCACCACTCTCGCTTCTAAGGAACATTCCAGTTGCATATCTTCTAAGACAGCTGGGTTGGGTTATGTGTCGTGGAGTAGGTTCTGACTCATAGTGACCCTGTACAGGGTTTCCGAGGCTGTTAATCTTTACGGGAGCAGAAAGTATCATCTCTCTCCTGCGGAACAGCTGGTAGTTTCGAACTGCTAACCTTGCAGTTCACAGTCCGATTCATAACCAGTACGCTACCAGAGCTCCTCGACAGTAAGACAGTAGGCCTCCTTATCCTCTCCTAAACGCCAAATTGTCCAACATAGAGAATTAAGTAAATCCAGTGTGCCAATCTATACCTACGTTACCTAACTAGATGTGTGTTTCTGAGCATGTAAAAATATGGAGGGAATGAAGAATGACAGTCATCTACAAAGAGTTGACACATAACACCATCTAGGAGGCTACCACTTTGTAACAAAACTGGCTTTTCTTTGTGTGTGTGCGCGCACATATGCGCTTTAAAGTACACACAGCTCAAGATAAATCGTCTGTCCAAGACACTGATTTATTCTGAAAACTTCGCAACCTCGGGGTCAACTATGTGCTCTCTGACCCCCAGCACCAAGACAGAGTTCAGATGCCACAGAGGAACATTCTTGATCAGATATTCTATCCTCTCTCCGCCCCTCTTACCTTTCAACATCTTCACAGCCACGGTGACTGCATCCTTGGGCTTCTCTTTGTCAATTCCAACAGCTTCGGCCATGACCACTTGTCCAAAGCAGCCTTCCCCCAGAGGTTTCCCCAGCGTCAGCCTAAACGTGTAAATAGAGGATTAGCACACCGCATCTGGCAGAGGGGTGTAGCAAGTGAAATTCCAGAACTAAATATAAAAATCTTTCAGCAGCTTGCTGAAGCATAGAGCAGTTATCATATGGAATTAATGAGACTTGGGGTACACACACGCACGTGAGTATTTTCTTAGTGATGTTTTGGAGAATGCCAATTACTGGTGAAACAGCTATTAAATTTCACATAGGTATTCTCCATTTATTTTTGTTACGGAAGGCATTCTTGCCATTAAGGTGGTCAGTTTTCCTAAAAGCCAACCAGAAGGCGTTTTTCATTTTGGCTCAATGACATATGCATAATTTAGAATGTCTCAAAAGAAGAAAAGTGTTAAGCAATTCTTATTTCTTGTCTTTGTGAATTGGCAGCTTTAAGATCACTATTATTCAAATGCTGATGGACTTTCCGGTCACATATTCCTCACCAAATAACATGACAGGGATCTTAAGCACATTTTCCAGAAACCTCTAATTTTTCACTAACGGAAAAACAAAATGCTAGAAGATGAGAGGTAGTTACTTGTAAAATAATAGTTCAGAAATCTTATGACAACCCAAGATTAATCATGGAGAAAACCCGAACCCAACCCAACAAACATCCTAAATTCCCAAGCTCAGAAATGATATTCGCATCAAACACATATTGTCTGATGGCATTCCAGAACACCAGCAGAATGAAGAAGTCTTTGGAATACTTCTGAATGTGGTTTTGTAACTTAAGCATAGCATAGCCAATAGTGAGCTACCATCAGAAAACAGTATTTACTATAAGTCTAACACGAGCTCAACCTAAGACTGGGGGCAGCATGTGCTATGTGCTGGGATCATTTCGTTTCGCTCCAGAACTAAAATTAAATTTAACATCTTGGTAGAAAATAAACATTTGCATTGGGGAAATGGCTAATTTATGTCCTACTGCCCTGCTATAGAAGCATAACAATCCTTTCTTTGTGTAACTTTTGCCCCCGATCTAATAAACTGCTTCTAAATAGCCTTCATTCATTGGAAACCTGCTCCACCTACATTTGTGCTAAGCGCTGTTTTGAAATGTTTAGCACTCAGATTTTCCACTCAGGGTACCCCTCGGGTGGGAGCTAATGGTTCAGCACATACAGACGCCCACTGTTGACTGAGATGTCACAGGTGGCCAAAGCTAGGGGGCTGAACCTTGGAACGGCAACAAGTCCCCAATTCCGCCATCTCTATGTTGGAATGTACATACAAGCCCCGCTTCTTGTATAATCACCCACAAAGTAGGGAGCTGGGAAGCTGCAGGAGAAACACTCCTTTTTTTCTCTCCACTCTCCAGGTAAAGAAGCAATTCTTTGTTTCCCTTAAGGCCCCATCAGCAAATGCCCAAGAAACATGTCTTGCATGGCTGGATGGACGGATGGACGGATGGATGGATGGATGGATGGTACCTTCATTATATTACACAAACAGACGGATGGATGGATGGTACCTTCATTATATTACACAAACAGACTGGAAATTACTACAATGTACACTCTCACTGCATGAGACTTGGACAATTACTTGGTTCGAGCTTATGGTGTGCGTTCATGTCTCCACAGCGGGCTGTTAGGAAGCGACCCCTGGTATAGTGTGTGTCTGTGTGTGGTGAGAAGCAAAATGACAAAGGCTCTGTAAGCTACCTCTCCTCTCAGATCGACCTGGCTCTACCCACTGTCTGAGAAAGCTTCTCTTGGATTCCTATGAGCTCCTGCTGTACTCAGTGTTACCCTTCACTGACACACTCTGCATGACCCTGCCAATGTCAAGGCAAAGAGTGGCTTCACTGACACACTCCGCGTGACCCTGCCAATGTCAAGGCAAAGAGTGGTGCTATGTACAAACCAGTCAAGGATTTATTCCCATGTTTAGGGTGTAGAAATACCAGCCACACTCCGTCATTCTGAGATATTCTTACTCTAATTCCTCCAAGAGGCAGCCCAGGAGTACAGAGCTCTTCAGTGATTGTCCTACTCTATCTGGGGAGATGGGTGTTGGGGGGTGTCCCTTGCTTTGAGGATTGTGGGCTTGTAGTTCAAGATCTGCTTACTCCTGCTGTGATTAGCACATCCATCTTCCTGGGGCCTGTGGTCCAGAACTCCCAGGTTATCTACACATGATGTGAAGGGAAAGGAAAATGTATAGGAGCCAAGTGTGTTTGATCTGGGGAAATCTGTACCATGACCCACACTGAAGACCTAGAATCAGGTAGCTCACTCAAGGTTGCCCAGCCAGGATTCTAGCCAACCCAATAGAGTTCAAAACACTTGGATTTCAAGCCAGACCGAGAGATCTTCAGGTTCACACCGCCACCATCAACAGAACTCAGGTGGCCATGCTCAGACTGAACGAGCATCCAATTGTAATGCCTCTAGCTCATCCAATAAGGAAAATACTATTATTGTTGTTAAAGGCCATTGAGTCGATTCTGAGGCATGGTGGTGGGCTTGAAGCACCGACCTTACAGTTCAAAGGGCTGTAGTCTAGCGCGTTAACCCACAGCACCACACCAGGACTCCAGAAAATACTATAGACCAATTCAAATGAGGTGCCAAGTGCCAGGTGGAAGCTTCATAGCCTGATGTTACCTTTGACAACCTTTGACAACAGGAACACTGGGAGATGTTTCATCAGGTGATCTATATTATGCATCTAATTTAACCACATAAATAAGGAAGACTGTTTTAGTAACCAGGAATCAGAATATCAGGCCTGTTTTACAAATTGTAGAATTCCAAGTTTATTCGATTTGACTGGATGTGTGGGACTAGAAAGGATAGCAATGCCAACCAGACACCATCCTCTTTGAGGATCAGCCATCGCTCTCTCCTTTAAGATGATTAGAAATCCAGTCTCACTCCTTCCTTTTGACATGGTCCAATCAAGACCTTTGTGGTTAAAGGTCATAAAAAGGAGATGTCAACCCAATCTACCCACTTATATCTGAGTGTCCATTCAGAGATTTTCCCAGTGGAAGTACTCACTTATCTCTTGGAAATTCCCATTTTGGATCCTCTGGCAATTCATACTCAGAGACCCCTGCCAACATGGGGGTGTCAGCTGTTGATGAGAGGCGTGTTGTTATCCTCACCAGTGGGGTGTTAGAGTTCATGGAGGAGCTGGACTCAGCCGAAACCTGGATATAAAGATGCAAATGTAATCCTGGCTCTACTTTCAAAGGCCGGAATCCCACCGGAGCCCAGCCAGAGTTTCAACAGTGAGAAAGGAAGGGGGATAGGTGCCAAGCAAGACCATGAACTTGGACCAAAATGAAAACCACTGATTCTAATGCCTCTGTTGTCCCACCTACCCAGTGGTAGAGTCTACTCGAAATGGTACAGTCCTAAGGTCAGATCGTCAAACAAACATCACTATGCCATTGCAGATCAAAATGTCAGTCTCCTTCCTATCCTAATTTCTCAATGGACAGACCTCGTTGAGGTCATTATTACCTCTTTAACTGTAAACAAATGAGTCCCATTTGATCAATGTGCCCTTCGATCCACTCAGATCACTGGTCAATGCCAGGTTTATGCAATTTGATGAGAACTTTCAGAAAACCAGCTTTCTAATATTCCATTTAGCTTCTCAAATCAAAGCAGACTGTTTCAAGATCTAGGATTTGAACATAAAAGGCAAAGAGCAGTGGATCTGGTTTTCCAAGTGCTTTTTTTCACGGCAACCTGAGACCCAAGTACAGGGAGTCTTTTTCCAATTTAGGGAATCAAACATTTCCAACCAAATCACAAATCTTGCTGCTTCTCCCCAGCCCTTCTGGGAACTCGTGGCTGCCCAACACCATGCTGGAAAGGTGAAAATGGATGGTCACATGTCAATTTCAGTTTCAAAAACCACGGGATGGAAGTGGGATAAAGAGGTAGGGGGAAGAAATGTGCATTTTTATTCAGTCAGCAGGGAGAGCATGGAAGGCTTCACCAACGTACTGCCTCATTTTCCCTGACCACCCTTTCAGCTTTGGATCCCAAAATTGGTTCTTTCTTAACTATGTCATTGTCTCTTTTCTCCATCCTGTGGATGGAGACCACAAGAGAGCCCATCTAAAAGCTGCTTCTGAGGGTTACTAGGCAACCTTGGTCAGATCACAGGTTGTTAGAACGTCTTATTCTAAGCCATGAACGAAGAGTAGGAACATGAGGTTAAATACGACCCATCAAAGCAGTCCTCCCGCCCACCTTTGGTTTGGTCCAGCTCAAGAATACTATCTATCCAGCTGTACTTATAGACACTTTCCAAATCAACACAGCTGGAGTATTGGTGTGGCGCTGTGGGTTAATGCACCAGACTGCAAAGCCGTTTGTACTGCAAGGTCGGCGGTTCAAGCTCACCAGCCACTCATGGGAAACCCTATACTGGGTCGCTATGGGTTAGAATCGACTCAATGGCACTTAACAACAACAACAACAACAACAACAACAACAACAACAACAACAAGTCCAGATGAACAAACTTAGTTAGGATGAACTCATAACTGGGGTTACCTGGACTATTTTCAGGGGAGTCCGATGACGTGTGTGTTTCTGGATGCCTTATTGGAAAACCTTGGTTTTTCTCCGTTTGTAAGCCCAGACTGCCTTTAACAAGGGTTGCTGTTGTTAAGTATGTCTAGTTGTTCAGACTCATAGCAATTCTGTACAGGGTTTCTGAGGAGCAGCTGGTGAGTTTGAACCGCTAACATTGTGGTTCAAACCAGCCTTGTAATCCAGTGCTTATCCTACAGTGCTACACCAGGACATGGTAAGAAACCCCAAAAAGATGCCTGTGATGGGTTGCAATGTGTCCTCAAAAGATACATGTTGAAGCCCTAAGTCCCACAATACCTTTGAATGGAAGCTTATTCAGAAATTGAGTCTTTGTAAGAGTGACGGAAGTTAAGAGGAGGTCAGGACTGGTGTCCTTAAAAGAAGGGGAAAAGAGATGGAGAGTCACATAGAAAAGCAATGTAATGCTGATGGGGAAAGGATTGGAGGAATGCATCTGCAAGTCAAGAAATGCCAAGGTTTATCAGTAACACCCAAAAGTTAAGAGAAAGGCATAGGACCGATTCATCCCTAGAGAGTCAGAGAGCATGGCTCCACCAATGTCACAATCCCAGACTTCTAGGTCCCAGAACTGTGAGTCACAAACTTATTTTGGTTTAAGTGGTCCAGCTGTAACAATGTGTTACAGCAGTGCGAGGACACTCATACTTATTAATAAATTGGAGGGCGGGGGCAACATTTTTGGACTAAGAAGTTGGCTCCAGTATTAAAATCAAGAAGCAAACCATTTAAAACCAAACTTCTAGCATCTTCTTAAGGCATATATTTTAATATACAGATTATTTTAATATACAGATATGAGAGGTGATGTTCTTCATTGTGAGTATACTCAATCTGGAAAAAGTAAATGAAGAATCACCAATTTTGGAGCCAAAAAGAGTCTCCTGGGTAGATTAGGCTCTGAGAGGCAGAGCATCTCAGTGTCTTAGCCTCTCACAGGCAGAAAAAGACAAGAAGGCAAATTGTGTGAACTTATGTGGAGGACCCGCTCCCTAATGATGAAGACCACACGGAAATGCCCTGAGGGGCAAGAGACACCAACCTCAACATCCTCACCAGTCTCAGTGGGGTGAGCTGACCTCACCATTAGGACAACATCCAAGACCAGGAACTTTCAAAAAGCATCAGGATTTTCATGGTACCCACTAGCTATGTAAACATCTGAGCCCATCATCCAGAAGAGGCATGGAAGACTCAAGAGATAGGTTTGACCAAAGATGCCCCCTCAAATCCAAACACCCACCCAGCTCCTGCTGCATCTGGACCATGAGCTGTAGGTGAAAAAGGACTCTGAGAAGCTAGTGTCTTCACAACATAAAAGGTCTTCTGGGACATTCCTCCACATAAACACCACTAATCACAGCGGGGACTCGTGCTTGAAGATCACCAGCAAGGAGACTCCGCTGATAAAGTAAAACTTGACCAAGCAGTGTGGTGAGACAGCCCAGGCCCAACACAGCCAACTCCACACCCAGGACTCCTTTGGTATGCCAGTAGAATCTGTAGAATTCCATCACTGGGGTGCATGATGTACTGGGGTCCATGAAGACAATGGATTGGAAACACCACTGAGGGGACTAGTTCTGGACAAAGTTCACTACCAGAAAGCAGAAGTCTCTCTTAACTTTTGTGCTTGTCCCTGAAAATCCACTGTTGTCAACAAAGTACTTACAGAACAGGTAGGAGGAAGCTGCCCACCCAAACTGAGTACACACTTTTACAAAAAGTGTCTCATACAATGTGTAAGAGATTTACTTGGCAGCTGTTACCTTTGGGGAGAGAGATTAGGGGTTGAGGAAACAGGTGAGAAAAATATTTATTTCAGAACTTTCTAGACTACTTGAATTTTATTACTGTTTTAGGAAAAGGACTTCCTTTAAAAATAGGAATGACTTTTAAGATATTAAGGATCTAAATTGAGAAATAGCATGGAAAGGGGGCCAGAAGGTCTCATTTCTTATTGGGAGTGAAATATACTGATTTCTAAAATGAATTCAAAACTACAAGAGTGTCCCTTTTGTCTCTCCTTCTGCTACCAGATTGGATTTTCGAGCATCTCTGAATCCTTTGATGAGGGCACGTCTTGACTAAAACCAGAGGCTGTCAAGACTATCCCATCTCTGATTCCAATTGTGTTCCGTAGGGGTTTCCAATGGCTTTCTTTTGAGGCAGCTGTGGGTAGTGTCTAGCCACCAACCTTTCCGTTAGTGGCCAAGTGTGTTAACTCTTTGTACCACCCAGGACTACCAACTCTGGGGGAAGAGTTGTTGAAGAGCAGAAAAACTAAATAGTCAGCTAAAGTTAACTGCTCTGTGGCTAACCTATGACCTGAAAGACATCTTGACTCTCCAACTCTGGATGAAAGTTCACACGACAGACATGGTCCCCCCAGGCTATTCCACCAGGTTTTCCACCGGCAAGATTCGAAGTGGGAAACCTTTACAGGCTTTCTTATTAAAAATACGTGTGTTTACACAAAGGATTTCTTATGGAAATTCTGTCCAGATTCAAGGTAGAGAGAGACTCAGATTGACATTACAAATCTGGAAAATACTTTTGTAAAAAATACACAAAGGGAGGAAAAAAGGTAAGAAAATGCCCATAGTATAAGAAACGACATAATTCTATCCCTCTGTCTACTGGGGTACATCTTAATTTTACCTCCATGCATTTTTACGAGGCTTTTAAAATCCCCTCTGGGATTGTAAAACGGGGCTGGCTTTCTCCTCACAGCATCCCACTCTGAGAGCCAGCAAGCAAGCATGTATTAAGGGGCTGGGACCACGCCCCACAACAGGCCCTTCCTCTAAGCAGTGCCATGCTTCCTCAGGCCTCCTGCCTCCTCAGCACCAAACTCCTCAAGCGAATCCCATGGCCAGCCTTCGAGACCCCGCTCACTTCATCATCAGCACCATTAAACTGCCGCCGCCTTCTCTCCGCTGTTGTACAAAGCCACAATCGTCCGGATCAGACCTGCACCTCTGGGCTTTCCTTTCCTCCCAGATGGAAAATATTCCATTGATAGAGATACAGACATTATTTATAAACAGGAACTGCGAACACTCTAAGGAACTGTTTACCCACATCCAAATCCAGCAAGCATATTTAAATTTTTAAAAAGCACTTATTTTCACAGTCTCTAATTCATCTTGCTTACACTCCGGAATCTCTTTACCATCTACCATAAATCAAGCTTTTAACTAAATGTGCTTCATATATTTCCACAGTACATGTGGGAGGTTAAGCAAGGAAGAGTTTTGGGGGGTAGGGTTACTTCCCCTTTCTTTTTAAAGGGCCACCAAGAAATAGCATTATCTCTTTATATTTATATTTGATTTCTAAACCAAGAGAGCAAGCAGAGCAGGCCGAAGCCAGGCTGTCTCCAAGGAATGACTATGTTGGTATGTCTATTCCTGAAGACCAGACCACAGTTTGACAAAGAACCCTCGGGCTGTTATTCTGTGGGTCAAGTTCCTGGTCCAGACCAGAAAATGAGGCCCTGGCGATAACAGTATTTCTGCTTTAATCCTCCTGCCACCTCAGGTTGTCAAGGTGACTAAGATCAAGGGTCACGAGG